GCTGATTCCCGTATCGTGTGATTTCACCCGTAGCTTTATACTTCCACCATGGCTGCGTTCGGAAACGTCACCTGAGTGCCCCCGTGTATTATTTTATCCTTGTTATTCATCCAATGTTAAATAAAGATAAGATGATACACGAGGGCACTCGGGTGATGTTTCCGAACGCAGCCCATGGTGAACGCGTGGCGTGAATCGAACCGCGGTATAATGTGCGACGAATTCGTCGTTATATGTCGGATATTTTAATTGTTATGTTTAATTTAAATGCAACTATTTTGTAATTAATACGATATATTTCGTTTTGAGACATGAGTAAGAATCATAAACGTTTAAAACGCCTAAAATTGGAAAAGGCGAAAGTGAAATTAAAAGCAAAGACCGTCCATCAATTGACAAAGGGTTCGAATGCTACAGATACGTCGTTTAAAGTAAAAAAAATATTAATTCGTGAACAACTAAAGCAACGAGATGAAACGGAAGTTCTTAGCACTCGCAAATTAAATATCGACGTATGTAATTCGGCTTACAATATTTTTTTACGTTTAATTTAATGTTGTGTAATTGTTGAATTTATCCTTCTCACCGCCGATATTGATAAAATTTAACTTATTCGACGCGTTTTTGCACAAAATGAACGAATCTGGCAAAAAGATGTGTCGCTTTACTCCGTGGACCGAGGTATAAATCGTTAAAGTTGACGACTTTTCGGGTTAGGAAATCTGCACATCGATAGCATAGGATATGAGAACGTGTAATTGAGGCTAGAATAAGTATTTTCTACTTCAGTTACACAAATTCTCTGCTTTAAAAACACATTTTTTGCTTTAAGAATACAAATTATTTTCTATATAATTTTTATTTTTACAGTAGAGAATTTGTTTTAGGTAGGTAAGTATTTGTCTGTAAAGCAGAAAATTTGTATTTTTAAAGCAGAGAATTTGTGTTTATGAAGCAGATAATTTGTGTAACCCTCTATGCATTGATGCGACAGTTTTCCTAATCTGTCAACTTTAACAATTAATAACTCGGTTCATGGGGCAGAAAGACATATTTTTGTTTTGCCAGATTCATTCATTTCGTGCAAAAACATATTGAATGAGTCTATTTATCGAGGAGGTGAGAAAACTTAATAATTTCCGAGTGTTGATATGGTGCTTAAACCTAATTGTTTAGTGCGTTATAATTTAAGCTTGTACGTACTTTGTTACGTAGCTTGTAATGTATTTTCAGGATTTATTAACACGTTTTCGACATCACAATTCAACCGTGAGACAAGATGCTTTGAAACAATTAAAAGACATGCTGTTGCAAAATCCTCCAAAATCTTTACATTCACGATTGAATTCTCTGTTACATGGTATTGCAGCTTTATCTCTTGATAAAGAAAAAGAAATACGCACAAATTCATTTCATGCGCTTAATTTTATTCTTGGCCTTATCTCGAATGAACAGTTGACACCTTTGTGTGAAATTATAATATCGTATCTGAGCTGTGCTATGACACATATTGATCCACGTGTGAAAGAAGATTCTCTACTTTTCTTAGACGTGCTTGTACAAAATTGTAGTAGTGCATTGGCGAAGGATAGTCATAAAATATTACCTAATTTTTTGGGTATGATATGCAGGTTACATAATGAAGGTAGTCCTGCGGCACAATTAATAACAACGCTACATTCCAAAAGCACTAATGTAAAATGGAGAATTAAAGTTCTGGAACGTTTAGCTAATTTATTTACCTCTATTGTTAACTACAGGAAACTTTGTATAGGTACACGATCGATTGTGCCTCCATTTGTGAAAACGAAAAAATATACCAAGTTTGTTCCAGTCTATAACGATAGTGCGACTCAATTTTGCAAAATTAATCTCGACGAAGATATGATCTCGATAGATAATCTTGAGAAAGAAACCTTACCTATAGAAGAATTCGTAAAGTATGTAGATTTATTGATGCCACTAATGTCTGATATTTGGCTCGAAGTATGTCCAGATGCGAAAGTTGAGAGTTACACAGAGATTACAATTTTGAGCGAAACAGCTGCATTATTGAAAAATGTCATTGTAATTATGCAATCGATTGTGGAATACATTGATACGTTGGATCAGGATGATTATAGCGTCAAACGTATGAAGCGTTGGTTTAAAGATACGTTTCATAATGCATATATGAAAAATTTCCTATCAAGGTTTCCTTATGGTAAAGTAAAGCCTCTTATTAATGAATCCAGAAAACGTCAAAAAGATTTTTCTCAAATGAAATTTACGGAAGGATGTTTGGAACAAAATTTAGGACTTTGTCAAATTCACGTATGGTTTACATCTCTGTTTAACTGCAACGAACAATTTCCCAAGTCTGTCAGGAGCTATTGCGTATCCATTCTCAAGTATTTAAATGGTAAATTAATGTTATGTAATAAACACAAGTAATATTATTATCTAATTATTATTATGTATGATACATCAGATCCTTTTTTTACAATACCTTTTTCATTTTCAGGTATTATTGAAAATTGGTACGACTCGTCGACTTTACCTCAACTAACTAAGCTACTAAAAACTTTATTTTTGAAAGCTGGACCAGTTTGGTATAGCAACTATATTAATTTGAATCATACTTTAAGACTGATTATTGAAGCATCTTCTCGTTTGCCTAAGAAAGAATTACAATCGCATTTGTATTTAATTATTGGTGACATTATGTTGAACAGCAATTTAAATGAGTTGCACGGGTAATTGTTTTAAATAAAAAGTAAAAACTGTAAACGGTGGATAATTTAATTTTTGTAGAGCACTCATTTGGTGCTATATGTGAGATAACGTATAATTAACTTAGTAGACGGTCGCTAATTATTACTTGTTTCGTTTGACAGAGAAAAAATATTTGAAAGCTTTGTTACGATCTTACCAAGTTTACTCCTGAAACCGAGCATAGATGACGTCGTAATTCGTATGATTGGTCAAATAGTTTTACGTTTTAAGGAATGGATCCAGGAAGAATTAATAGCTAAACACGAGCCTATTATCGGTAAGTTGTATGAATTTGATTAAATTGTATATTGTGTTTATCCTTTTTATCATATATTATATTAACGCTTTATTCTTTTCAGAAAATGTTAAGGAGATCGACATTGTGGGTACACACGAC